CTTCCTTCCCTCTTCTCCTTCTTCCTTCCTTCCTCTTTCCTTCCTTCTTCCTTCCTTCCCTTCCTTCCCTCCTCTTTCATTCCTTCCTTCCTTCCTTCCTTCCTTCCCTCTTTCCTTCCTTCCCTCTTTCCTTCCTTCCTTCCTTCCTTCCCTCCTTCCTTCCTTCCCTCCTTCCTTCCTTCCTTCCTTCCTTCCTTCCTTCCTTCCCACCCTCCTTCCTTCCCTCCTTCCTTCTTCCCCTCTTTCCTTCCTTCCTTCCTTCCTTCCTTCCTTCCCTCCTTCCTTCCTTACTTCCTTCCTTCTCTTTTTCCTTCCTTCCTTCCTTACTTCCCTCTTTCCTTCCTTCCTTCCTTCCTTCCTTCCTTCCCTCCTTCCTTCCTTACTTCCTTCCTTCTCTTTTTCCTTCCTTCCTTCCTTACTTCCCTCTTTCCTTCCTTCCTTCCTTCCTTCCTTCCCTCCTTCCTTCCTTCCCTCCTTCCTTCCTTCCTTCCCTCCTTCCTTCCTTCCTTCCTTCCTTCCTTTCTTTCTTTCTTCCTTCCTTCCTTCCCTCCCTCCTTCCTTTCCTCCTTCCTTCCCTCTTTCCTTCCTTCCTTCCTCCTTCCTTCCTTCCTTCCTTTCCTTCCTTCCTTCCTTCCCTCCCTCCTTCCTTCCTTCCTTCCTTCCTTTCTTCCTTCCTTCCTCCCTTCTTTCCCCTCTTTCCTTCCTTCCTTCCTTCCTTCCTTCCTTCCTTCCTTCCCTCCCTCCTTCCGTCCTTTCTTTCTTCCCTCCCTCTTTCAATTGTCTCCCTCCCTCTCTGCCTCCTCTTCTCCCATACAAGCAGACAGCTTTATGAGCAGACAGACCGCCAAGCAAGCAAGTAGACAGCCAAACAAGCAGACACACCGCCATAAAGGCCTAATAACTATCATACAAGCAGACAAACAGCCATACAAGCAGACAGTCATTCAAGCAGACAGCCATACAAGCAGACAGACATCCATACAAGCAGACAGACAGCCATACAAGCAGACAGACAGCCATACAAGCAGACAGACAGCCATACAAGCAGACAGACAGCCATACAAGCAGACAGCTATACAAGCAGACAGTCAGCAAGGAGACAGACAGCCATTCAAGCAGACGGACAGCCATATAAGCAGACAGCCAACAAGGAGACAGACAGCTATGCAGACAGACAGACAGCCATACAACCAGACGGACAGCCATACAAGCAGACAGCCAACAAAGAGACAGACAGCCATACAAGCAGACAGAACGCCATATAAGTGGACAGACAGCCATGCAAGCAGACAGACAGCCATCCAAGCAGACAGAACGCCACATAATCGGACAGACAGCCATGCAAGCAGACAGAACGCCATACAAGCAGACAGACAGCCATCCAAGCAGACAGAACGCCACATAATCGGACAGACAGCCATGCAAGCAGTCAGAACGCCATATAAGCGGACAGACAGCCATACAAGCAGACAGACAGCCATACAAGCAGACAGACAGCCATACAAGCAGAGTACTCATTTCCTTTCAACTTTCAATGATTCCTATTAACCTTCAGCCCATTTTCTTTCAAAAATTCAACCCATTTCTTCCCGACCTTCTCCTCTCTCAAAAGCTTTCAGCTGGACGTTGAGAGCCGCGCGGGAAAATCAGATTCTGGTTGTTCGTGGTGGCTTAACCTATGTGGCTTCGTGGGTTAGTTGGTAAGCCAGGGGTCTCTCTCTCTCTCTCTCTCTCTCTCTCTCTCTCTCTCTCTCTCTCTTTTCACAAGGTTAAGGATCCCTAGCTTTATTGACAGCTATTTACAGGTTAAGGATTCCTAAGTTTATTGGCAAGCTAAGAGCTGTTACCTACATCAGCTCATTTGAAAGCATTTTTATTGTTAAGAGACATACAAGTAGGAAACAGGATGAAGTTGGAGCCATCTGTGGGCCAGCATTTTCATTTGATCAACTGACTTTATCTCGTTGACATCATTATGCTGTACGAATGTGTTCCATACTCGAGTCATCCTGGGTATGTATGATCTCAGATGGAGTGATGTTCTGGAGAAGGGTACAGCCAGAGTGAAGTTGCTGCTGGCTGCCCGTCTTGTGGTATAGAAGCTTGCTTCAAACTGTCCTCGAAGTGGATCCAAATGTGGTACTTAGACAATATTGGCCTTGTACATAACAGTAAGGCCACCCACATCCCTCCTGTGTTGAAGGTTCTGCTGAAATGACAGATCTATCCAGGATTGGTCCAGGCGAGAGACGAGACGTCTTGCTCTGTTCTCTACTCTGTCAAGCAGTCGCAGATGAGAGGGGGAGGTGGGTAGGCAAACCAAGAAAGTGGAGCATGCTCAAGGTGTGAGCGTACTTGTACCTTGTACAGACTCTTCCAACAACTACGGTCAAGCAGATGCGAGATACGGTGAAGTGCTGTAAGCTTCCTGGCTGCCTTGTTTGCAAGATTTACAACGTGGTTCTTCATGGTCAGTTTGGAGTCAAATTTCACCCCAAGGATATCAACTTCTTCCGCAGGTGCCAACATCCTCCCATTCATCCTTACTACTGCACCAGCATTACCATCATGGTGCCTAGAGACGATCATCATTTGCGTTTTCTCAGGTGCAAATGTTACTTGCCATCTATTTCCCCAAACTGATATAGCTCTAAGCTGGTGATTGATGTAGCTTAGAGCAGCTGGCATTTCTTCTCCTGGATAAGTGAATGTCAGTGTACAGTCGTCTGCATATGCATGTGATTCTGGGATGAGATGAAGAAGGTCGTTGAAGTAGACATTCCATAACAATGGACCCAGCACGCTTCCTTGTGGAACACTTGCCCCAATAGGATGCCTTGCTGATTCCGTTCCATTGAGGACTACACTTAGAGATCTACCATGAAGGTAATCACTGAGGAGACATAGCGTAGAGCCTGCAATTCCCAGTGCTTGAAGTTTTGCTAAGAGGCCCTGGTGCCACACCCGGTCGAAAGTGCCAGCAATGTCCAGTGCTACCACTGTCTGTCTCCGTCTCTCTGTCTCTCTATCGATCTATCTATCTCTGTCTATATCTCTATCTCCATCTCTCTCTCTCTCTCTCTCTCTCTCTCTCTCTCTCTCTCTCTCTCTCTCTCTCTCTCTCTCTCTCTCTCTCTCTCTCTCTCTCTCTCTCTCTCTTCAAGGATCCAGAAGACGTAAATCTTCAAGATTCTGGAACAGAAATTATTTTTTTCCTCTATACCAGAGACAGTTGCGTCATGAATTTATTATTATTATTATTATTATTATTATTATTATTATTATTATTATTATTATTATTATTATTATTATTATTATTATTATTATTCTTATTATTATTATTAATTATTTTATTATTAATTTTATTATTATTACTGTTATTATTATCACTGCTACTACTACTACTACTATTGTTATTTCTATTACCACTACTATTACTACTACTACTATCATTACTACTAATACTATTACTACTACTACTCTTACTACTACTACTACCACTACTACTATTACTACTACTACTATTATTACTACTGCTACTAGTATTACTACTACTATTGTTACTACTACTACTACGATTACTACTAGTACTATTACTATTAGTACTACTACTACGATTACTACTACTACTACTATTACTATTATTATTACTATTACCACTACTATTACTACTACTACTATTGCTACTACTACTCTTATTACTACTACTATTACTACTACTACTATTACTACTACTACTATTACTACTACTACTAGTATTACTGCTACTATTGTTACTACTACTACTACGATTGCTACTACTACTATTACTATTAGTATTACTACTACGATTACTACTACTACTAGTACTACTAGTACTAGTACTACTACTACAACTATTATCATAGGGAAGCTTCTGGACTGTGCTCGTTTACACTTCTGGAACATGCTTTCATCTCTACTTTCCAGTTCAGATTTATACTTTGGTCAAAGTGTTAACTGCAAAGTGAACTTTGCTTCGTTTCTAAGGACAAAAAAAGATAATAAAATAAATCTTGGTCACATTAGTGTCGGGCGATTAATTTTTTTTCTCTTTCCCTCTTTCCAGCTGGCGACTTCATGACTTCGTGTTTTCCTGTCCATTTCCAGACCTGGAACAGTCGTGACCAGAGGAAAATAAACTCTTCTCTTCTCTCTTCCCCCTCTTCACTTTTCCTGGAAGGAATGGGAAAAAGGGACACTGGCTTCCACTAGACGAATTGCCCCCTTTTTTTCTTTATTATTAGTTGAGACTCTGATTTTATCCCTTTTCCAGTGAACCTTTTCCAGCGAGTATTTTTCAATGAGGCTTTTCCAGTGAGCCTTTCCCAGTGAGCCTTTTCCAGTGAACCCCTTTCCAGTGAGTTATTGGTTATATGTGAGTATAAATTCCCCTTTCTCTCTCCATTTTTATATCTAACGCCGTAACTTCTCGTTTTCCACTTTCAGCACAAACCTCTTGACTGGAAGACCACTTTCTCTACTTCTTTTTCCATCAAGACCCCTCATAATCATGTCACCTCCTTCCTCATTCCAGGACCTCTGGTTATGATATGTCTTCATGTTCTTCCAGCAAGACCACTCGTAACTAGCAGGTCACCTCCCTCTGTTATTCCAGGACCCTCAGGTTATGACCTCTCTTCAAGGTTTTCCAGCAAGACCACTCATAACCAAGTTACCTCCCTCTCTTATTCCTGGACCCTTAGGTTATGACCTGTCTTCATAGCCTTCCAGCAAGACCATGAAGACAGGTCACCTCTCCCTCTTATTCCAGGACCATCAGGTCATTACTTGTCCTCATGTCCTTGCAGCAAGACCACTCACAACCAGGTCATCTCCCTCCTTCATTCCAGAACCCTCTGGTCATGACTTTTCTTCATGATTGTCTTCCAGTAAGACCAGCCGTGCCGCCAGACCATCTATCCTGCTTCTTTCCAGCAAACTTCCACCCATAACCTTATCTCTTCTCCGTGGTCTTCCAGCAAGACCACCGCTGGAACGGGCTGATCGGAGAGTTGCTGAAGCGGGAGGGTGAAGGAGCGGAAATGGCACTTACAAGCCTCAAGATCAACAAGGAGAGGGAGAGTGTCGTCGATTTTACCGTGCCCTTCCTGGAGTCTGGAATTGCTATCGTCGTTGCCAAGAGGACTGGAATTATCTCCCCGACGGCGTTCCTAGGTGAGGCTCTCTGGAATCACTTACTGGGTAGTTACTGGAATCCTCACGTTTTTTTCTCGTTGATTTCAACAATTTCTCTTATTCTTTTGTTTACTGGAATATCCACCTTGGTCTTGACTCTCCTGGACTCTGGTCCTTGGTCTGGAATCTCCTTAACAGGGACTTCCCTTGACATGAACTCTCTTGGACTCTCCTTGACGTGGACTCTCCATTCACGGTCTTTTTCAATTAATTTTCGCATTGATTTTCTTAGCCCAGTTATTTTTAATTAATATTTCGATTTGTCCTCCCGGAAAACAGCAAAATATTTTGTGGGAATATTGTCCTTGTCTGACACACACACACACATACGCACATTGCATTTTCTTAGACTGCAAGAAGGACTTCGACACAGTTCCTCACAAGAGATTAGTACAGAAGCTAGAGGAACAGACACGTATAACAGGAAGGGCACTGCAATGGATCAGAGAATACCTAACAGGGAGGCAACAGCGAGTCATGGTCCGTGATGAGGTATCACAGTGGGCGCCAGTGACGAGAGGGGTCCCACAGGTGTCAGTCCTGGGACCAGTGCTATTCTTGGTATATGTGAACAACATGACGGAAGGGATAGACTCAGAAGTGTCCCTGTTTGCAGATGACGTGAAGTTAATGAGGAGAATTAAATCAGACGCGGACCAGACAGGTCTACAAAAAGACCTGGACAGGCTGGATGTGTGGTCCAGAAACTGGCTTCTAGAATTTAACCCCGCCAAATGCAAAGTCATGAAGATCGGAGGAGGGCAAAGAAGACCGCAGACAAAGTATAGGCTAGGTGGCCAAAGGCTGCAAGCCTCACTCAAGGAAGAAAGACCTAGGAGTGAGTATAATACCGAGTACATCGCCAGAAGCACACATTAACTAGATAACTGCTGCGGCATATGGGCGCTTGGCAAACCTGAGAATAGCGTTCCGGTACCTCAGTAAGGAATCGTTCAAGACTTTATACACTGTGTATGTCAGGCCCATACTGGAGTACGCAGCACCAGTTTGGAACCCACACCTAGTCAAACACGTCAAGAAATTAGAGAAAGTGCAAAGATTTGCAACAAGGCTAGTTCCAGAGCTACGGGAAATGTCCTATGAAGAAAGGTTAAGGGAAATCGGTCTGAGAACACTGGAGGACGGGAGGGTCAGGAGAGACATGATAACGACATACAAAATACTGCGTGGAATAGACAAGGTGGACAGAGACAGGATGTTCCAGAGATGGGACACAGAAACAAGGGGTCACAATAGGAAGCTGAAGACTCAGATGAGTCAAAGAGATGTTAGGAAGTATTTCTTCAGTCATAGAGTAGTTAGGAAGTGGAATAGTCAGGCAAGCGATGTAGTGGAGGCAGGAACTATACATAGTTTTAAGACTAGGTATGATAAAGCTCATGGAGCAGGGGGAGAGAGGACCTAGTAGCGGTCGGTGAAGAGGCGGGACCAGAAACTGAGTCTCGACCCCTGCAACCACAATTAGGTGAATTAGGTGAGTACACATATAATGCGTACATTGTGGTGTCTCTGGAGGCGGCACAAGGTTCGCAGGGTCGAGTCCTGGCCTGCCGCAGTTTGGTAAATGACATATACTGCAATAATTTACCTGAATCACGGGAATTATCAAACCCGATAAGTACACAATTATCCAGGAAATAATTTACTCCAATACAGTGAACTCTCTTATAAAGCTTCCTGGTTTTAACAAACGCGATTGTTAGAAGCAGAAAACTGTAGGGTGTTTCAAAAAGCTCGACCCAATTTCAAAGCAACAGATTTTGAAATCGGCTCCATTATTGCAACACCCCGCATTAGAAATTAAACGTCGGGTTGACGAGCCTTAGAGGAGCCCCTTAAGCGAGTTCACTGTATCCTGGACGAGTGTTACACAGTGGCTGAAAAAAATGGAAGATATTGTGCACAGTCGTCTCTTTGTGAGAGATAATGAGAAATATTATTGTGAGAGATGATGACAAATGTTACTATTAGAGATAATGAGAAATATCATTAATTTGTGAGAGATAATAAGAAATATTAATTCGTGAGAGATGACAAATATTACTGTGGGAGATAATGAGAAATATTATTAAATAACCTGGATAATTAGTGATAACCTGGATAATTAGTGATAACCTTTAAATTACTGATAACCTGGGTAATTAGTGTTAACTTGGGTAATTATTGATAACCATGATAATCATTGTTAACCAGGATAATTACTGATAACCAGAACAATTACAGATAACCTGGGTAATTATTGATAACCAGGATAATTACTGA